AGTAGCATCAGTAGCATCAATTGCATCGTTGGAAAGAATCGGGTTGGTCGACGAGACACCTTCACAATCACATTCTCTTTCTCGCTCGGTCCAGAGACATGACAGCAACACGGACAGCAGTGCCTCGACAGATGATGGCGGTGATGCCGGACAGTCGTTGGTCTCGTCTACACAACTTGAGAGTAGTGAATGGACTGAGGAGCAATATTTTACACATGCCACTCAAGATTCAGATCATGGAACTCGATAAGGTACTGGTCAAGTTTATGCACGGAAGGGGAAGGCAGTGGTGAATATGAACAAATACGACAGAGCATACATGATATAGACACAAAAAGAGGCTCATCGTATTATGGAGAATCATACGGGCAATAACAATATGGTGATAGTTGGTCATCCTTCTCTGAGCAACAACATTATACAGAACAGCACCAATATATGCCTCAAGAGCTGCCTCGGACAAATATGATTCATGACGATCAGTCTACGATCAGCACCATATTGATGCATCAATGGCACACGGTGTATCAATATACTATGTCATGGGATCAATTTCATGATTGGGTCCAACAAACGTATCATATTGATATGTATCGGATCGAGGACCCCGATCCACCACCCGTGGAAGCCCGTTGTTCGTTTTGGTGGTAGAACAACAATCAGATATATCTAGATATGTGATAATTTATTTTATTTGAATTTTAGAGTTTATATTGTAACAAAATAGTCTAACAATTCAACTGATTTTTTTGTAGATATTTCAATCTATAACGGGCTGAAATACGAACCTCGAACAAGACTACCTCAAAGCCTGAAAAAGATATGTGATACTATTTTTACCTAATTTACATTGATTTTGCTAAACTTATACTATTACTATATTTATTTGTAACTTGAAAACCCTATCCTAACTTTTTTTTCTAATTTTCAGGTATTTTGGAGGGATAAATCGGTAAAATCGGGTGTACCGCTCGGTACACCTCGGTATACCGGTCGGTACACCCGTACCGTACCGTACCGAGCCTGGGTCGAAACTCCGGTACGGTACGGTATAGCGGACCTTGGTTGCAACAATTTGACTTGTAGCTACCTTATAAGCATTAGCTTTAAATGGATGTTGCCAAGCACCAGTCGACACAGCTCTATAGTATTCATGAGACAATTGTCTTTCATCCTTCTTTCATGCTTTCCTATACTTGTTATCCACTTGCTTTATTTAGTCATGCTTTCACCCAAGGTTCGCAATACCGTATCGTACCGGTATTTCGACCTGGGCTCGGTACTAGTACGGTACGGTATACCGAGCGGTACATCCAGGTGTGCCGAGTACTGTAGCACTGCTACAGTGCAATAGTGCACTCGGACCGGTAACAGGCGGTCTGCGTATCGACAACCTGTCGGACCGGTACGTACCGGGTGGTACAGTTCGGTACGGCAGACCTTGCTTTCACCTTTCTCATAGTGTTACTAGGCTTGTATTAGGCATATTCCACAGAATTCCTAACTGTTGTATAATCCTTCTGTCTCTTTTTCTGCCTTATCCTGGATATTATTGATGGATATCTGATGTAGTTACGGATTGGAGGCTGATTTTGTGGGTAAACCTACTGTTTATTGGAATTGCGTGACACATCTAACCCCGCATTGGAAGGATATCACTAACTGGTCCTTAGATGCATCAATATAGTTCAGTTATCTCTGTTGATAAATTTCGTTAAAATGGTGCATTGTGCTTTTATAGGTTTCCTATGCAACTTGGGATTTCTATAATCTTCTTCCTTTGCATACATTGCCTAAAGAACACTGGTATACTTTGGTACGGAACTAATTTGTGGCAGATATACTCAATTTTGCAGTAATTTGACAACATTTTGTATCTCCATTTTCTTATACCAAAATTTATAAGAAAACTTATGTAGCTAATTAGTATAAAATGCACATTTGATTTCATTTTGCTTGTTAGATGTTGTAATTAACTTCTTTGGCTATTTGAATGAACAAAATGGATTCCTATTTTTGCACTTAGATCTGAGCATAATAGGAAACCTTTTTTCAACCAAAACTGCTGATGTCTAATTTGGTAGACGAGCTTTGACCTCATATTTCTGGTATCTTTCTTTGATCACTTTCTACATCTGTACTTTTTTTCTGAGGAAAATGTTGTTATGCCCTACTTCGATATCTTCGAGTTTTGCAACTTGAATCTTGTTTCTTCAATAAGTTGTTTTATTGGTGGTTTGATAGGTTAAATTGTGGTGTGATTGCCCATTCTGGCCTGATGATGGGATGTGCTATCTCCGGGATTGTACTGTATGCGAGTGTCCAGAAAGCGAGTTTCCAGAGCCCTTTAAGAAATCATCCAGATTGTTTTCTGCTGACGATGTGATTTGTCAGGAGGGAAAACCACAGGCTGCTGTGGATAGGACCCTTGATGATACAATTTTCAAAGGATGGATCCAGATTGACAATCCTTGGACATATGATGATGAAACTGATGATGGTACCCACCAGCTCTGGTTTACTCTTAACTTCATTTTGTTTTAGATGTTGTTGTTCTCCTCCATGGTATTTGACTTTGTGAACTTGAATCTGGTTGGTGCATTGCATTTTTCTGCAGCAGCTATGACATATGTGAATCTCCAGCTGAACCCTGAGAGATACACTGGTTATGCAGGTCCATCAGCTCAAAGGATATGGACTGCTGTTTACAAGGAAAATTGTCCACAATGTTAGTCATCTGTCCTCTTTTTTTCTCCGTATCCTGGCATTTTTGTAATGTTATCTTATTTTGCTAACACCGAGATAAAGTAGAACTTATCATGTTCTGTCTGATATTAGTTACGAGTCCTTTTTTCATTATTTTTCTGTACATACTCAACTTTAATAATTGCTTGAATTAGGGAATTCCTCAACTTCTATAAAAATTTTAAGCTTCTGAAGAAACTCTCATGAATTAGATAATTCTCTGTATATAACATGAGAATGCATATTTTTCATCAACTAATTTGTTGCATTGCTCAGTTTTGGTTAAAATGTTTACATACTGAAATAAGTTTTAGCTAGTACTATATTTTTTATCTCAAAAATTTTCTTTTCCAGATCCTTCTGAAGAATGGTGCAATGAGAAGAAAGTGATGTACAAATTAATCTCTGGGTTGCATTCTTCAATTTCAGTTCACATAGCATCTGAGTATCTCCTTGATTCATCTGCCAATTTGGTATCTTTGTGTACACTTCCTTTCACGATAAGTTAGCTAGAAAAGAAAACCATTTTTCTTAATATGCTTTTTATTAGCCATGAATCTCTAATGTTCATTCTTCTGAATGAACCCAGTGGGGGCAAAATGTTCAGATGCTTTATGATCGAGTATGGAAACACCCAGATCGGGTCAGAAATTTGTATTTTATATTTCTCCTTGTTCTGCGGGCAGTGACAAAGGTAAGTCAATCTCATTTTGCTGCAATATCGGAATTAAATGATCCATATTTAGAGAGATTAGTTCATGTGTTTATGATGCTTCAGGCTGCAGATTACTTGGAACAAGCTGAATACAACACTGGCAATCATGTGGAAGATTTGAAAACTCAGTCATTGGTGAGACAGCTACTCTACAATAACAAACTTCTATCTGCTTGTCGGGTACCTTTTGATGAAGTCAATATCTGGCAAGGTCAAAATGGGCCTGATCTTCTGCAGCAGATTCAGAACCAATTCAGAAACATCAGGTTTGCATTGCAAATTTGACATGTTAACCATGAGGACTTGCTTGTTAAATTAAACAAATTATTTTGTGTTGCAGTGCAATCATGAACTGTGTGGGATGTGAGAAATGCCGATTGTGGGGAAAACTTCAAGTCAATGGTCTAGCAACAGCTTTGAAAGTTCTATTCTTTGTTGATGGCAAAAACAATGTAAACAAGACAGTATGCTACTTTCCTTTATTCGCCAACTTTTACTTATCTAATTTGTTTGTCTGTGTGTATATATATAAGGTTTTCTAGAAGCTTCGACCCCATGACATTTCTTTCTCCTGTTTGTTTGCTTATATGTTTGTTTTCTTCTTGAACTAAAAGAATTATCTTCTGCATCCTCTCAGTGGTTGAATCTATATTTAATATTTATGATTTTTAGATCTTACTCGTGGTTGCTATTGACTTATGTGATGACTGGTTTATTCTTTATCTTTCGGCCTTCTTATTTCTAAAGCATATGTTTAAACATCTTGAAAAACATGAATTATATCTCTTTAAAGGTAACCTATACTATTGTGTTTGGCAACTTGACAGTTGAGATATATTCTTTTAGGTTCTTGAATCTTTTCATGAGAGAAGCTAGTCATACTACTATTGTCTGATTATTTGATACTAGTAGTCATGGCGGAAGCTTAAACTTGGAAAAGCGTGGGTCAGCATATGTGGCTTCCATAGTATGAGCCTTGGAAGAGTCAATCTATAGAAAATAAATCGAAAACAAAATGGTAAATTGAACTTTAAGAAATAATCCTTATATTCACTCAAAACAATTCTTTTTTAACTATTTTTTTCCCTGATATGTCTTTCTCTCTTTACCTTATGAAATGTTCAGAAGTATCTGAAGATAGATATCAAGGTACTTTCCTAATGTGTTCTGATGTCAGCTTATTGGAAATTTAGCTGCAGCTGCAACGAAATGAAGTCATCGCACTGTTTAACCTTCTAAATCGACTCTCTCAGTCTGTAAAATTTGTTCATGACATGGGACCTCTCATGGAGAAGATGGAAAGGCATGATTCTTCCCCTACAGGCAAAACTCCCTGGTAGTAAAATATGAATTTTCTTGGTCTAATGCTGGTGAGCCTTCTCCCATCCACTCTTGTTCTTCCAACTTATTTCACCTCACGTTTCTCAACAATTTGCTCTCTTACTGACTTGCCAGGTTTTCGCGGCTTCATGACGGAAGATGCAGACATGATCCTTCACTTTTTCTTTAAAGATATAAACTTGATGTTGTTGGTTTAGGAAATCATCTTTGATAGCTTTAATGAGACAATGTATATTAGTGATCAAGATGCACTATGGGATCAGGAGATGACTCCTGCTGTAATATCATAAAATAAGACTTTATGTGAAAAAAAGGAAACAAATTTGCTCAACACAATTATTCTGTATACGATTCAATTGTTTGTCTTTGGCAATGTTTTTGTATTATCATGTTCATGATATGATGTGAAAAATCTTTTACACTTTTGTGTATAGTCTTATCCTTGCAATCATATAAACAGTTTCTGTGAATCATTGGCTAATATTCTTGATAAAAGTAATAATTCATTAATCTTTAATCGTTAATGACAGGTGAGTTTGGTTCGAGATAAGAACGAATGGATCTGGGGACGTGATAATTGAAGCTTGTTGCACTCAACTTGGTTGTCGTGACCCAACCGGAATCTAGGCCAAGTATCGAAAGAAAGCCAGTCCATTATATAGGGTAGCCATTGCAAGCCCATAAGGATAGCCGGGCTTAAGCCCATATATAGGTCTCAGGTTGACGCACAAGACGAGACGCTTGTTACCCTCTCTCTCCTCTCATGAAGCCCTCGATCCAAATCAAAGCCGTCACTACCGCCACCTCCTCCACTCCGACGCGTCTATCCTCCCTCTTCTCTTCCTCACCACCAATTACGCAGCCGGCCCCCGCTTCGCCATGTCGCCGCCCCCCTCCGCCCACCTTCATGTCCCGCCTCTACTGCTCCATCTGCGCGAGCCCTTGTCCGAGCCCGGCTCGCCTGCGAACATCTCCCGAACGGCCTCCGCCCGCACCTTCGCTCCTGGAGCCTCCTCTCTCGCTTCAGCTCCGCCGGCTTCGTCGCGAGCCCGGCCTCAGGCTTCCCGCCGAGACCCTCGGCACCATGATCCACTACTTCGTCCGCAATCGCCGCATCGCCGAGGCCCAGGCCCTCGTCCTCCGGCTGGTCCGCCGGCGTAGTGCCTCCCGTGCGGAGGTCGTCGCTGCGCTGGCCACCAGCTACGACCGCTGCGAGGGCCCCGGCTCGGCCGTGTTCGACCTCTTGATCCGCACCTACGTGCAGGCGAGGAAGCCGAGGGAGGCAGCGGAGGCGTTCCGCTTGTTGAAGGCCCGGGGCCTCTTTGTCTCCGTCAACGCCTGCAATTTGCTCCTTGCTGGATTGGTCCGGATGGATTGGGTCGACATGGCGAGGGACATCTATGGTGAGATCGTCGAAATGGGGGTCCATCCGAATATCTACACTTTGAACATCATGGTGAATGCCTTCTGCAAGGATAGAAGGTTTGACCAGGTAAATTCGTTCTTGTTGGAGATGGCAAAAAGAGGGATTTTTCCTGATGTTGTAACGCATAATACTTTAATTGATGCACACTGTCGCGCTGGGCATTTGGAAGAATCATTGCAATTGCTGAAATCGATGGGCGACAATGGACTAAAGCCTGATGTCGTGACTTATAATGCTGTTCTGAATGGGTTTTGCAAGAATGGTCTATATGACAAAGCAAAAGAATTGCTGGGGGAAATGTTGGATGCTGGTTTGGTGCCGAATGCTTCTACATTCAACATTTTTCTCAGTGGGTTTTGTAAGATTGGTAACACAAGCGAAGCCATGAGGATTTATGATAAGATGGTCGGTAGTGGACTTGTTCCTGATATAGTAAGCTTTAGCTCTGTGATAGACTTGTTTTCGAAGAAAGGTGATATGTATCGAGCACTTGCATATTTTGGGGACATGAAGACCATTGGCTTGGTTCCAGACAATGTCATCTACACTATGCTTATCAGTGGATTTTGTCGGATTGGTTTGATAACGGAAGCTCTGAAGATGCGTGATGAGATGGTAGATCATGGTTGTTTGCCAGATATTGTCACCTACAATACAATCTTGAATGGCATATGTAAAGAACAAAGGTTGTCGGATGCTGATAAACTTTTTCATGAGATGGTAGAAAGAGGAATTTCCCCTGACTTTTGCACTTTCACTACTCTCATTGATGGATACTGTAAGGGTGGTTTAGTGGAGAAAGCTTTAAGACTGTTTGATAAAATGCTAGAAAGCAATTTGAAACCAGACATTGTTACTTACAATAGTTTGATTGATGGTTGTTGCAAAGAAGGGAATATGGAAAGAGTAAATGAGTTGTGGGACGACACGTGTCGAAGGGGAATGCTTCCTAATCACATTACCTACAGCATTTTAATAGACAACCACTGTAGTAAAGGACAGGTGGAAGAAGCCTTTAGGTTCCTGGATGAAATGGTAGAAAATAGAATTGCACCTAATGTTGTGACATATAATTCGATTATTAAAGGTTATTGCCGGTCTGGCGATGCAAAAAAAGCTGAAAAGTTCTTAGAAAAGATGATTGATGATAGTGTCATTCCTGATATAATTACGTACAACACTCTCATTTATGGATTTGTCAAAGAAGAGAAGATGCATAAGGCTCTTCATTTGATCAATAAGATGGAGAACAAAGGGGTGCCACCTGATGTTATCTCATATAATGTAATTTTGAGTGCATTTTGTGAACAAGGGGAGATGCAAGAGGCTGATTCTGTATTTAAAAGAATGGTCAGCAGAGGAGTCCAACCTGATGGATCTACATATACAACCTTGATAAATGGTCATGTTGCAGTTGACAACTTGAAAGAGGCATTTCGTCTCCATGATGAAATGCTACAGAGAGGTTTTGTGCCTGATGATAAATTTTAGAATTCCTTTTTGTGCAGATTTGGGAGCTTTGAAAGAAAAATAGTTGTCCTTGCTGATATATTCTGTTAGGCACTAGGAATTATGGGACATGAAGTGGTTGACTTGGATGGCAGGCAGGTTACACATTCCACAGTGCCAAGATGTATGGTGCAGCTGATTATGATCATCCTAGGGTATGTATGCACTAGCACCCTTGATGGGTACTCCATAACCTGCAAATGCTTATTGAAACCCAGGTTGGTCCTTCATTCATCTGAGTGGGTGTGTGGATGTCAAAGTCACTTCACAACCTTCTCCCATTTACCCATATCTTGCCCATATCCAAAGTAAGGTAGGTTTACTCAGCTGAGTCACTCAATTGGCTGGTTCTTTACATCCACAAGAAGATTTTTGGTCTGCAACACTGTGATAACAGTATGGTGCTACTGGTTATAGCTGTTGGTGCATTTATCAAGGGCTTAAGGATTCTGTTGGAGATGATGAGACAATATTTCATTCACGCAAGAACTTAAACCAGCAGGCAAGTGTTTTTGTCAGATACCTGTGACTTGATTAGTGAAATACTCCCTCTCTTCAAAAAAATATTTTTTTACCAACACAAAAAGAAAATATTTTGTTGCGAATGATCAAGATGGTAAGAAATTATCCATATGTAAGATCATAATTATTGATATGGATATTTTCCACATTAAAAAAAATCTTTTGTTTCAATAGAGCCAGAATTGATTTGGATCATTCAAAGATCGAAGTTAATAGAAAGAAGGTATCAGTGAACTTCTATGGAATGGTTTCATGGGATTCAGCCAATTGTCTCCATCAAGCTTTTACTTTGTTTATAAGATGATATCAGAGGGATGCTAGGTAATGGCATTGTGGTATTCATTTTAATTTGTGAAGTATGAACAAGAAAAGAATTACATGACCTGAATGGTTAATTAAGAAGGCCTGAGAGATTTGTCTCCAGAATTCTTGGCAATGGTCATGTTAATTGAAAAATTTTCAGGGAAACATTTATTGATTCGTCGCTGGTAGCAATAAGAGTCCTTGCTTTAACAAGGAAATTGGTCATACTTATAAAACTGAAGATTAATCATCATTTCAAGGAGATGGAATATTGTAACCAGTTATTGGACTTGCTGTTAATAAACATTAATGAACAGCATCTGTGAATCTGAACTTGATAGTTCACTTATTTGAGATTGCTTGTGTGGTTGTCAGGTTGCTTGTGGCTGTGAAGATGAGAAATACAAATTGGCTAACTTGCACTTATTTGTAAGTTCCCATTTCTTATTGTACAAAGCATCATTCTGGACTAATTTGACAGCAGTTTTGCTGTTTGCTGTGGTTGACGAATAGAACACTCATATTCATGTGCTAGAGCTTCAATTTTGAAATAAATGAAGTTTCAATTTAACTATAACTTGGTATTCTCATATGTCAATAGTTTTACTTGGGAAATTAATCCATTTTATGAATGTAACAGATTGAGTGCAAGCCAAAGTGGTAATCAGTTTTCTTTAGGATTTTGGATAGTCATACTGGTTGGCAATGCTGGCACATGTAACAACGTACCTTGCCAAAAAGGTTTTGAAAGTGCCACTGATCCATGACATGGGTGTTGACATATGGTTAGACCAACTTTGGGCTTGTGTTATGCAGTGCAAGAGTGAGTCAACGAGCACAAATGGAAAAGAAACCATATAAAAAATGTTTGATGAAATTATTCTGTCACCTGAAAGAATTCAACATACTTGTTGCTTCTCTTTCATCCTCTTTTAGGATTTTTTACCAAACTATTGATGAGTCTGAGATAGTGAATATAATTAAACCTGGGTGCAGCTGGAGTTCTCAACCCTGTTGAGTTAAAATTAGCCCTGATGGCTTGTTCATTAATGACATTGTTCTAGATGGAGCTGAATATATTTATGAACTGACAGATGCTTGTCTATTTTGACAGGAGCAGTTGGTCGGACATTTGGTAGTGCTTTGGACCTGGCGGTTTGCCTTTACCAGAGCTTCTAATATTTGACTAACTTGCTCGGCTTCGTCAGCAGAGGGATGAGATTGCTTGGTGCATTAGGAATACGATTATGGAATATGGACTCTATTCACTCCTTTCAACCTTTTGCTTCATTAATACATATTTTCATCTTTGTTGTCTGGTCCGATGCCATTAGACTTTGATAGCGTCCAATCCTTTTCTGGTTTGCTACATGGAGATGCTGCAGAAATGATTGCTATCATCAATGCTGCAATTGTCCAGTTCTTTATTGAGTTGTAGCATCCTTGAGTTGTCTGTGTTTTAGATTGACTCCGTTTTTAAGCTTACCAAAATGGTTGATGAATGAGAGCTTTCAGTGTCATATGACTAAACTATCTTTGTCTAAGTTAGATCCAGAGTGTTCTACTTCAGTCTTAAGGTTCTTTGTACTGTCATTACTGCACAGTTCTAATATTGGAAGATTTGATGTCTGCTTAAGCTTCTTTTTGTGTTGAGAGAGGTGTTTCTTATCAGCTACAGAAAAGAATAATTCAAATAAAAATCCTTTTTAGATGTGGCTTAATGTGAAGGTTTTGTCTTTCTAAAGTTTAAATTGGTGTCTTCATTTCATTTGTATCATTGGATAATCCAGACTACTTTTGTGCTTCAGAACATTGGACTTTAGAAATAATATATGGCACAATTTGTTAGTGTCATTGGAGCAGTGTCATTGGAGCAAACGTTGTACAACCTAACCTCTTTCTCTAATATTGTTGCATATTGTCGTTTCTGAAAATTGAATGTCCATCGAGAATGCTTGAATTTATTATTCTGTAGACTTTATTATTCCTTTGTGTCTAGACTTTGGTGCAAAATTATGTTAGGATATATTTGATAAGGCTTCTTCAATGTTTATATCAATGAAAAATATAAGGAAATTAGTCTAATTAGTCTATTTTGAATAGTTTAGAGATGAATGCATATCTAGAGAATTATCTTTTTATGATCCTCAGGATATCAGAATATTATCTTTTAAAATTTATATTGATTGAGTAGGATATCAGAATATTTTCTTTTAAAAATTTATCTCATATAATTAGTTCTCTTAAATATCTCAATCTCTAAATTTAAAAAATGTATATTGAAATCTTTATGGTTATAAAAGTAAAATATCTAATCCTATTTATCTTAATATCATCGGTAAAATCGATGGAAAATACAACATATAATAACACATGCATGAATGACACGAAAACAATGAGAAAAAAAATAATTTTAATGATGGTGGTGGATGGTATTGTTGTCGGTGGCTATTCTGGTGGTGGTTAATGAGAACGACACGATGGTTAGCCTTGTTGATGTCAATTCGAACATCGACGACGAGGAGAAAGAGGTGACAGAGCATTGAGGCATCTACAGCGACACCGGAGGAGGAAAAGGAGGGAGGTGAAGCATTTGCGTCGGTGTCGCATCGCTCTAGCTCCTCTTTCTCCTTCGATATTGCTTTGCATCTACATTAGCGTCAGAGGAGGAAGAAGAGACAAGTGAGGCATTTGCGTTATTGACGACTACGAAGGAGGAAGAGATGCCTCATTTGCCTCCTCTTCTGACACAGGAGTGTCTAATTTAGTACAATCTGATCATATGAACCTTGATTATGATATGATATTTTTTTTCAGCCAACAATGATGCCTCGTAATCTTTAACTCAGCCCACTCAAATATGATAGCTCATCAGCATATTCCTTGTACAAAGTTAAAGTTGTTTCAAGGTGTTTTTCTTCATGACCAAGGAATGCATTAAAGGAGTTGGTTAGCAGCTATGAATAATTTCTTCATAACCAAGGAATGCATTAAAGGAGTTGGCTAGCAGCCGTGAAAACTTAATTTCAAAATTCCCTATGCATGAAGGGTTGTTTCATGCACTAGTACTTATGTTGGTGTTTAGGGCTTAGAAAGAACTTTAGAAACTGATGATATTTTGGTAGAAGCTCTCTTGGAGTGCTCCCATAAACTCTGTATCTCTTGGATGCGTCCTTGAGTGGTGAGTTTTTTATTTTTTAGTTCTGTACCATTGTTTAATTTCTGTTGGGTGGTGAACTTTCTATATCCCATTGTGATTTTAAACTTGGTGGTGAGCTACTTTTCGTTTTTATCAAAGTTGCTTTGTTAGTTCGCTCCTTTTCTATTCAACAAATTGTATATCGATTTTTTTTCGAATTCTATTCTACTACACCCCCCCCCCCCCTCATTCTGCATTACACCGGTATCAAAGCTAAAGGCTAGAGATCATGGTAAGGCGGAATTGAAAAGATATAGTTGGTGAAGGTAGCGACCATGAAGATGCTGCTGAGATATTGAAGCTGTAGCTACGAAGATTGCTACGTAGTCTACAAGAAAAGAATGAAATAATCGATGAACTTCAAAGTAGACAAAACCAGCATGAAAATGATGTCCATGAATATACTTCTGATGAGGATACACCTCCTCTCCCAAGGGAGTCGAGAAGATGTCGGATAAGAAATATAGTCCAAGACGAGTGGTAGAATAAATATAACCCAAGATTGGAGATTTAAGAGTTTGAAGGTAAAATAAATGTTGATGACTTTATCGATTGACTTAATGCAGTAGAAAGAATTTTCGATTTTTATGAACCTCCAAAACAAAAGAAGGTCAAACTTGTGGCCCTCAAACTTAGACGAAATGTATCTTTTTGGTGGAAAAATATGAAGAAACAAAGAAAACGTTAGGGGAAGAGTAAAATCGTGACATGAAAAAAATTGAACACTGTCTAGGCGGTGGTACCATCGCCTAGTGTCAGTTTGACTAACACTGTCTTGGGCGGTACCATTGCCTAGGGCGCAGTGCTAGGTGGTACCACTGCCTAGACTGGCAGTACCACCGCCTGGCACCCTGCCAGGGGCGGTACCACCGCCTGACATAGTCTTGAAGATTGTGCCACGATGGTGAGTCTTCTTGGGGCATTATTTGGGCTTCTTATTGGGCCCAACACAGTGATTACTTGGGCCTAGCTAGTGTCATGCCCCTCAAAATAACGACAATATTAAAATTTTCATCACAACGAATCCAGGATCCAAACACACATTTGAGGTCACTAAGAAAACATTCATATCAAAATTTCACCTCTATAGTCTACAAATTTATAAACCCTGTGCAGTTCATAAACATACCACACAATCACTCGATAATTCATACAATCTGAACTCAACTCATCAAAATAATAACCACAACATAATTTCACAAGTGGGGAAATCTATGCAGTCACCAAACCAACGTTTACCATAAGTTCATATCATTACATGAATTTAACTTAACATTCCAAAATCCTAAACATGAAGGGTCCTTTAACTTACACAAAATCCATGAGTTTAGATTCATCGTCAACATTTCATTAGATACAGAGTGGCTTATACAACAAATACATATATGCTAATAAAGATCTGCCCAAAATCTTCTAACTTTCCACTGCCTCAGCCCAATCTTAATCATTTAAGCAAGCGGTACGCTATCCTGAAAAATTTATCAACAAACGGGGTGAGCATAAAGAGCTCAGCAAGTGACTAACATATCCATATCGAAATAGGACAATTTCCAAAGAGATAAAGTTTCATAATACAAGGTAGAATGTACGAATTCGTAGAGATAATATCATTAGGTGCAGAATCACAATTGTCCTTTCAATC